AAATCAAAAAGGAATTAAAGAGCAGAGGTGCAGAGTAGTGAAGAGGCAAACTATAATTGAAGTGTGACAGGAGCGGGTAAAAATTACAGACAGAAGAGTGCAGCACAAATACAGAAGCAGAAAGAGTAATAATGGTAAAAAGTCAAAGATTAGGGCTCTTTATCTGAATGCATGCAACATTTGTAACAAGATAAATGAGTTGACAGAACAAGTAGAAATAAATGCATGTAACCTGATAGCTGTTACAGAGACATGATTGCAGGGTGACCAGGATTGGAAACACATATTCAAGGGTATTTGATGCTCCAGATGAACAGGGAAAATGGAAACGGAGGTGGGGTGGCTTTGTTAATAAAGGGTAGTATCAGTGTGGTGCTGAATAGTGATATAGTTGCAGTAGGTCTAGGTGTGGAATCAGAATGAGTACAACTGGGAGTCATCTCTAGGCCCTCAAAGGGAAAATTCTAAATTGAGAAATAATGAAGGCTTGAAAGAAGGGCACTACTGTTGTCATGGGTGATTTTGAAATGCATATTAACTGGACAAATCAGAAGGGCAATGGTGACATGGAAGATGAATTTGTTGAAAGCATCAGTGTTTGCTTGATAGAGCAATATGTTGCTGGACCTACCTCGGAACAGGATATTTTAGACTGAGTCATGAGTAATGAGGTAGGATTGATAAGAGGTCTGATAGTTGGACATCCTCTGGTGGAAGGGAGTGATCACAATATAGTAAAATTTCAAATTCAGTTAGTGGGGGCAACTCAAGTCTCAAACCAGTGTCCGAAATGTAAGTAAGGGCAATGACAGATATAGGAAGAAAGAATTGTCTCTAAAGGCTCGGAAAATAGATTAAGGGATAAGTCAGTGGATGGGCAGCAGGCATTAAAGCAGATATTTCATAATGCTCAGCAAAAAAATTATTCTGATGAAAAAGAGGGATGCAGGGACAGGATGGAATCATCCATGATGATTAACCAGGGTAGTCAAGGAAAGTATTCAGTCAAAAACTAAGGTGTACAAAGTGGCAAAAACAAATGGTAAGCCAGAGAATTGGAGTTTTTTTTTGGAACCAGCATGCGGATGACTTGAAAGCTAATAAAAAGGAAAAAAATTGATTATGAAAGTAAACTCGGAAGAAATATAAGAATAAACAACAAGAGCTTCTATGGGTATATAAAAAGAGAGAAAGGTCACTGGGCCTGAAATTTTACCTCTGCTTTCTCTCCACAGATGCTGCCAGATCCGCTGAGTTTCTCCAGCAATTTCTGATATTGCTATGAGAAAATAATAGCTAAAGTAAGTGCGGGTCTCTTGAAGGTGCAAATGGAGAAATAGCAGATAATTTAAATGAACATTTTTAATTGGTCATCACGGTGAAGGACACTATAAACAACTCAAAGATATCAGATAAGAAAGGTGCTAATGGGAGTGATATTGTGACAAACTGATGTGACTAGAGGCAAACAAGCCACCAGGGCCTTATGGTCTGCATTCAAGGATTTTAAAACAAATGGCTGCAAAGATAGGGGAGGCATTGAATAAAATATATTCCAGAAGTCACTGGATTGTGGGAGGGTTCCAGCAGATTGGAAAAAACTACCAATATGATGCCATCATTGAAGAAGAAGCAAGAAACTGAAGGTGAGTTAGCCTAACATCTGTCATTGGGAAAGTGCTGGAGTCCATTAGCAAATAAATAGCAGAGAATTTAGAACTGCTTAATGCAATTAAGCATATTGTGTGAAAGAGAAATAATGTCTGACAAATCTCCATGTAGAATTGATAAAGGGAAACCAGTAGATGTAGCATATTTAGATTTTCAGTCAGCATTTGAAAAGGTGCCACATAAGTGCATAAGATAGGACCTCACGGTATTGAGGGCAATGTATTGCTTTGATGAAGATTGGTTAACACAAAGAAGACAGACGGTCAGGATTAATGGGTTTTTCTTTTAGGTTGGAAAGATTTAACTAGTGGACTACCATAAGGACAGTCATGGGTCTTCAATTTTTTTAATCTCCATTTTAATTACTCAGAAGAAAGGGCAAAGTATAATAAATCCATATTTGCTGATAATAGAAAAATACTTGGGAGGGCATGTTGTGCTAAGGACATAAAACATATGCGAGGGGATATAAATAGGTTGACTGAGTGGGCAAAAACTTGGCAGAAGGAGATTAATATAGAAAAATGAAAGATCATGATTTTAACAGGAGGAATCAAAAGGCAGACTGTTATTTAAATAGAGGGAGATCCAGAAAGGTGCATCACTGAAGAATCTGTGTACTCGTCTGCATGAAACACAAAAGGTTTGCAAGCTGGTGCAGCAGGTAATTTAGAACGCAAATAGAGTTTTGTCCTTTATTGCTAAGTATTTAGAATTGAAAAATAGGGAAGTCTTGTTACAATTATACATGGTGTCGATGAGGTCACACCTGGAATATTGCACACAGTTTTGGTCCCTGCATTTAAGAAAGAATATATTGGCACTGGAGGCAGTTCAAAAGAGTTTAACTAGGCTGATTCCTGGAATGAAGGGATGGACCTACCAAACACAGCTAAACATGGTTAGACCTTTATTTACTAGAGTTTAGAAGAATCTGTACCTAAGGAACTTGTACCTAAGATGATGCCATAAGTGGCGATTTGTAAACTTTTCATTTGAGTATATGTGACAATAAAGCTAATTTTAAATTCTAATTGTTGCCACATCCAGGGAGGAGAAAATGCTGCCTATCAGAAGAGAACTAAAAATAACAGCAGTGGAGAGTGACAGCAGCACCATCCTATTTCAGCTTTGTAGCGAGACCTGTGCCATTTGGTATTGTATATATTGGGAATTCTGAACTCCCTTCTCAGGGTTTAAAAAGCTACACTACTCTAAATATCCCCAAAAATGCTTGATGAGACTTCATAAATTTGAATGACTATTAAATCACATTGAAAAATAATTATATGTTATATATGTATAATTTAACAAAACACTCAAACTGTTTCTTGATTTGGTTCCTCATCGAAAGTAAAATGCAGGAGTATTCCCCTTAGTTGAAGGGTGATTTAGAGGAGGCATTATTTTAAAGTGACAGGCAGGTTTACAGGAGATTTGAGAAAAAATGTTTTCACCCAGATGGTGGTGGGAATCTGGAATGCACAGATTCCAAAAATAGCTCACAATTTTTAAAAAGTACATGGATGAGGACTTAAAATGTCAAGGCTGTGGGCCAAGTGCTGGAAAGTGGGATTACTGTAGATAGGCCGTATGCTGTATGACGCTATGACTGTAAACATAGAGGTCGTGAGAAGGCAGGGTTTTATGTGAGTGAAGATGTGGATTACAGCCCGTTGGTCAATAGAGGATGGAGGCTTCGAGAACAACACTTGAGAAGTTGACCAGCCGAACATGAAGTGTACAACTACAACTCATAGATTTAGAGTGCCTTTAATGTGTTAAAATATACGAAGGCACCTCACTGTTATTGAACAAAAGATAATAATGAATCACGTAAGGAGATACGAGAGCAGATTGTCTAAAGATTGGTCAAAAGTGGTTTTAAGGAACATCTTAAAGAAGGAAAAAGAGGTAGAGATATGGAGAAGTTAAGAGAAGGAATCCCCGAGTTTAGAGCCCAGGTACAACCTCAAATGTTGAGCCAATTGAAATGAGTGATGTTTGTGAGGTCAGAATTAGAAATGAACAGATCTCAAGGAGGATTGTGGGTCTGAAGGCAATTATAGTAATAGGGAGCTGAGAAGCCCAGGAAGTATTTAAGAACAATTTTAAAATCAGGAACTAGTATAGATGATTGAGCATAAGGTAGTGAGTGAACAATACTCAATGCAATGCTAATGTCCAGTCACCAGTACTCTGAACAGCTGAACGGTGCTCCATGCAAAGTATCGCTTTTCAGTTGAGAGCAATGGCATAGTAAAAACACTCATATTCCTTATAAAGCGCTAACATTCTCACCAGCACATCAGCGTGGGAGGTTCAGCAGCTTTTTAATCCTTTGTTAAAAGTGTCAGTGTTTGCCAAGCACCACTGCTCAGCACTACAGTTCACGCTGTGGATCATAGGAATACTAGCACACATCATGGATTACTATCTTGTGATATACTGGCCAGTCAGTTAGACTGATCTTTTGAGCTACTGGGGTTGATGTAGTTTCACAGGCATCCACTATAGTAGCTATATTTTAGCAATATATACATAGGACTCATTTAATTGCAGGTTTAGTGTCTAGTCCTGATCCACTTGTGAAACCAGTAGTTAACAAGTTGGTGGACTGAAAATGCAACTTCACGAAAGGAAAATGTTTGCACCACACAACCGATGGAACTAAGTGACTGTACAGATTTTCTCCTCATTCCCTAGCTACTGGTTGAAAAACAACTCGGGCCTCTCTTGCGATTTGTATTTCTCTGAAATAAATAAATTTTTAAATGGTTTGAATGTTGACCTTTAACTGCTACCAGCTATGAGGCAGGTGACAAGTGGCCTGTGAATTTCATGGTTAAAATTCGATCCTGCAGAGCTCTGGAGTAATGCACAATATTCTGACAGTACAATATAAGCCTCTCATTCTCCTTGTCAGTTTTGTGTGAACATTTGTATTGAGGTATGTTGCAGTTGCATCTTCTCTTAAGTGTAGTGAGCAAAGAGTGATTAATTTCTTTACCGAGCTGTTACTTTCCTTCCATCTAGTGGAATGAACTGAGCGTGATTACAGTGATTTATAACCAAAGATAAATTATTGCCGAACAAATAAATCAAATGCCTTTTCTTTTCAGGTTCAGTAATTTTCCGCTGCATTTTGATAGTCTTCCACTATGCTTGTGTTATAAATGACGTGTACAATATCTGATAGTTCAGAATTTGTTTAGGAAGAGATGCAAGCTCTTGTTTGATGTTCAGACTCTGTTGCCACATTGTGAAGATTGTACTTTGTTCCTCCTTACGATGTAAAATTGACATCTTCCTTTGTTTTTTATTAACAGTGTAAGTGGTCCAGAAAAGGCTTCATCAGAACACGATGGAGTGTCACTGATTGGTATGTTCCAGTCCTTTAGATTTTAACTTTTACATTAATTTGCAATTTATTTAATAGCAGTAGAAGTACAAAACAGGTAGAGTTGTGATTTGACATTTCGACCGTTGTCAGTCACTTCACTGTCATCTGCCACACCTTATGTCCTTGGAAATGCATTTATATTTGAAAGGGTTAATCCATCAACCTTGCCGTTATTTTACACTATACTACAGTATTTTCATCCAACAATTTATATTTTAGTTTATCTGTCTTTAATAAGACAGAATATATATGGAAATATCAAGTTAGGACTTTTTAGCATAACTTTTTTTCTGACCATCCATGAAGATTTCTTCCACTGATAACCATAGAAATGATCTGGACTATTAACACTACTGTAGTGCCAAAATATCTTGAGGCTGCTTTACATCTGTGATATTCCTTCTTCAAGAAAGGACAGTAGGATTTTCTGAGTTATGGAATGATCTTTAAACTGGAGATACTTTGTTGGGAAGTCGAGATATTGAGGGATGTGAAGATAAGGTGGTAAATTTGGATTTAAAAAATTGTCACTGCTAATAAAAATAATAAGGGTAAGAAGTATTTATGACCCAGAAAATGAGATTACCTGACGGCAGTTGGTTTGCCTCATGATTTTCTTCTTACCCCTGAGGTAAGTGCACTGCTACTACAGTAAGCTTTTCCTCTTTTTGTGATATAAATATATTCATCCTGAGAAGGGCGATAGAGTTCTGAAGGCCATCTGTAATTGTTTCGATTAGCCCCAGATAGTCCCAGTGTATTGGACTGACCTATACCCTTGGAGTAAGATAACATAAACTACAAAGGAAACAAATCCTGAAATAATATTTTACTACTTTCCATTTAAGAATAAAATAGTTCTAGAATGTTGCAAAATACAAAATAACCTTATCTGTTTTAATATCAGTGATTTGTATATTTCTTCTGTGGGATTTTGAAGTATGTTTCAAGTGATTTTGAGTCCCTTCAGACTGATTACAGGTCTTATCTGTATTGTTGATATCCATTGATATCAGTGGTGATTCAGTTCCTGCTAGTAGGTGACCCCCTTCCCATTGCTGAGGTCACTAAATTGTTGGAGCAGACAGGAACATTCACAATGCTGGCCTCTTTTAAAATAGGGAGAAAAGTGCACTGTTCAGGCCACTGAGCCTCTCAAACTGACAACATGTTTCAATTCCTGTATATTTTCCGAAGAGACTTTGGACTGAAAGAACTTCCTTGATTTTTGTTCTTCCTTAAATGTAACAGGTCGATCATTTTCGGCTCATTATGTCATTTCCTTGGACCATGTCAGAAAGATTGAACAGTACAAAACTATCAAGCATTCCTAATGTGGTCTAACTACTGACAACAGATAGACCAGTGCTGTTCAATGCTAGATTGATCATTTAATCTGGATAGTATGATGGAAAGTTAACCTTCACCTCTTAAGTAGAGTCTGCATTGTGGCTAATGTCATGGCTGAAGACAGTCAGATCTGAAATGAGGAGTGCAGAACATGGAAGAGACGAGGTTCCAAAACTTTTGAACATGGTACAAAAAGCTTTGTTAGAAAGGGAAGAAAGAGGAGTAGAGGGCAGCACGGTGGCTCAGTGGTTAGCACTGCTGCCTCACAGCACCAAGGACCCGGGTTTGATTCCAACCTCGGGCAACTGTCTGTGCGGAATTTGCACAATCTGCCTGTGTCTGTGTGGATTTCCTCCAGATGTTCCGGTTTCCTCCCACAGTCCAAAGATGTGTAGGCTAGGTGGATTGGACGTACTAAATTGCCTGTAGGGTTATAGGGGGATGGGTCTGGGTGGGATGCACTGAGGGTCAGTGTGGACTTGTTGGGCCGAATGGCCTGTTTCTACACTAGGGATTCTATGATCTATGATCTGAGATGTCATGCACCTACAGGGATAGGGGAACAGGCCCTTGAGAAATATGGCCAAAAGATAATGAGAACAGGTAGCTGTGTGGGACAATATCAGGAGGTAAAGCGCAATGATCTAGATACAGATCATTGTGCTTTGATCATTTGATGAACTTGTGCTTAAGCAATAGATTAGTGATGAGATCTGTGTGTGATGAGACACAGGACATGAATGGGCTATAGCCAGAACAGTAAACTCATTGCCCATCACCTATGAGGGCCAATCATCTAACCTTGCAAGGAATGGACAATTTTCATGGTGTGTTTCATGGTGAACTGTTTCTTTCTTCTTTATTCTCTTCCTTTCTTCTTTCTTCTTTTCCTAAAGACAATGACTTTTGAGAGAGCTGCCTCAATCTCTGTTTGTAACATCGACAGGTATCAGTTGGAGTCAACATCTGAGAATGCTTAATTCCCTTTTCTCCAGGAATTCCATTAATTTCCCACTAATGCTTGGTCCTGACATCGAGACAAGGCCCAGTACACATTCCAGATTAGTAAGTGTGCATTTGTGGAACCGGAGTAGAAGCTTGAACTCCTGAGCTTGAGTCCCAGCATGGCCTTTTTTGGAAATTCATTCAATAAATTTGGGAACTTTTGGGAAAGCAGAAGAAAAACCATATTGTTATGACAGCTGCACAGGTTCATTAGATAGTAGGAATTGCAGATGCTGGAGAATCTAAGATAACAAGGTGTAGAGCTGGATGAACACAGCAGGCCAAGCAGCATCAGAGGAGCAGGAAAGCTGATGTTTCGGGCCTAGACCCTTCTTCAGAAACCTTCACAGGTTCATTAATATCTTTTGGGGAAGAGGTCTTGTTACCTTGCCAAATGTGGTCTTTGTGTGGACAATAAGCCCATGTTATGTGGCTGCCTTATAAAGGTCTCTGACATGACATTGCAAGTTGCCCAAAGAATGGGCAACAACTTGCAATCCTGATGATAAACTTGACCAAGAATGTTATGTGCCATTTTGGCCTTCTTATCTGAGGAAGGATGTTCTTGCTATAGAGGGAGTGCAGAGAAGGTTTAGCAAATTGATTCTTGAGATGACAGGACTGACATATGAGGAGAGATTGAGTCAGTTAGGTTTGTATTCACTAGAGTTTAGAAGAGCAAGGGGTATCTCATAGAAGCCGTTAAAATTCTAACAGGTTAGATACAGGAAGGATATTGGGGGAGTCCAGGTCATAGTTTAAGTATAAAGAGTAAACCTTTCAGTACTAAGGTGAGGAAAAATTTCTTCAGTCAGAGAGTGGTGAGCCTGTAGAATCCACTACCACAGAAATTGATTGCGGCCACAACATTATGTGTTTTCAAGAAGGAGGTAGATGTAGCTGTTGTTGCTAAAGGCATCAAGGGATATGTGGGGAGAGTGGGATTAGGATATTGAGCTCGAAGGTCAGCCATGATCATAATGGCTCAGCAGACTGTGGGGAATGAATGGCCTACTCCTGTTCCTATCTTCTATGGTCCTATTTTTCTATGACCTGCTAAAAGTGCAACTTAATTTCAATAAATCATGGGGAGGGGGAAAATGACTAGTTTCTTTCAAGAACAATTTCAAAGAATCATAGAAAATACAAACAGGATAAGGCATTTGGCCAGCTTGCTCCGCCATTCAATAGGATTATAACTGATCACTAACTCAGTACTCTGATTCGACTGTTTCCCCAAACCCTTTGATCCCTTTAGCCCTATGAACTATTCAATATTTTGGCCTCAGCTGCTTTCATGGAAGAGAAATCCACAGGCTCACCATTCTCTGGGTGAAGAAACTTCTCCTCATCTCAGTCCTAAATGGCTTACCCGATATCTTTGACTGCCTCTTGTTCTGGACTCCTCAGTCATCAGGAACATCCTTCCTGCCTTCACTCTGTCTAGTGATTTTAGAAAATTACCGGTTTCTTTGAGATACCCCTGTCACTCTTGTGATTTCCAATAAATATAGTCCTAACCGATCCATCCTGTCTTCATACGCCAGCCCTGCCATCCCTGATAAATTTTGGTTGCACTCCCTTTGTAGCAAGAGCATTCTTCCTCGGGTAAGGAGACCACAACTGCACACAGTACTCCAGGTGTGGTTTCACCAAGACGCTGTGCAATTGCAGCAACACATTCCTGCACCTGTTTTGAATCCTCTCGTTGTGAAGGCCACCATACCATTTACCTTCTTCATTATGTTACCCTGTGTTTGGTGCATATCTATTTCCACAGGTCTAGCAAAAATAATGGCTTGCTACATGTCAATTTCTCACATTAAAACAGCATGCCACAGTAGGCCATCCTGGACTGTGCCTATTATATACTAATGTCTGCTTTCCAGCAAGGACAACTGGGTAGCCACCAGGACCTAATCAGCCTGATTTTTCTTCTTCCCACAGCACCAGTGCCAGTGACATCAAAGCCAAAGCCATTCACTGTCAACTCATTTGAACTGAATTAAGTCTGAATGGGTTAAGGATTTTGTAGCTTCCTTCTCTGGGTGGCTGAGCTAACCACAATGCGATGCATGCACTAAATATGTCTTTGTGAGAATGGTGCCCCCACTCTCATTTATTTGATTTTAATTTGTTTAAAAATGTGTTATTGGTTAAATTTGTAGAATATTTACTAGGGGGAGAAATCCATCAATTAGTTTTATAGGTCTGATCATTCTCTAGTCCGTCATCCCATATTACAATTTCATAATCAACTCTGAATAGATGAAACAATCTTCAACACAGTGTTGTTACAAATATCAGCGTAGGATCACAATATTGAGTAGATTTGCATGTGGTTAAAGTGTGATGTGATTAAGTATTTTTCTTCCCAAGGATCTTCACCTGGTCAGAAGAGGAATACACTTGTACCCCCTACCATTTAACTTTGGAATTCAGTTAATATCTTTCAGATCTGGAGCTCCTGTTAATGTTAATCTGTGCTCTCAATGAACTATAGAAAGATATTAAATGAAAGACTAAAAGGAATTCTTTTCAGCTGTTGGCAATTTCTTAATGAATGACATTTCTTCTGCAAGGTGAAAATGATTTTATTTCCCTATTTTCTTTGTATGAAAATTTTACCTCAGATCTCATAAATCCTTCTTCTCCGAGTGCTTCCAAATGCTGGCTTTAAAACACTTAAAATAATGAAGCTTGGTTTTACAGATTTTTAATAACACTTAATAAACTAATGCATGAAATGGCATATTTTTATGATTGTGTTGTTCTTATTGTGAAGCTGCTCTCCTGAAGCATGTGCATGGGGGTGCATTGTTTAGTTTTCATGGATTAGATGACAATAGCATTCAATATATAAGGTGTGAGCTGACAGGGATAATGAGGTTCCATCTGTGGAGTGATAGATATCAGAGTTTACTTACAATGTATTGTTTAAAAGCAATTCTCCATTAAAACAACAGAGGCAGTATGCTTAGCAAGCAAATATGAATTTTGTAATTGGGCAAGCATTATTTTTGAAAGAATTTTATTATTTTATTAACCATAATATTTAATCTCCATATGTGCAAAGGGAATGTTCCAAAATACAAATGTCTTTGTAAGGCTCCTATTATGTCAGTTTGATATGCAATGCTACCATTTTCTAAATTCTGTCATGATCGTAAGAGCACTTGCCTGATGATTCACTTGTGTGATGGTTATTTTCTTGACAGTGCCTTTGACTTGGTGAACATTCATCTTTTCCATGATGCTTCCAATTTAATTGCTTGGGAAACAAGCCCATCTGTCTACTCAGGAACCCGACAGAAAGCTCTCGCTTACGTACTAGATAGGTAAGAAGGATATATACTTTACATTTTATACACTGAAACCAAGTGACCTCTTAATTTAGAAAATTATTTGCTTGGATGTGATAGCCAGCACCTAAAAGTCTTTATTTTATTTGGTTTGCGCTGTTGATTGGATCAGGTCCAGTACTGGGAGTTACTCTTAAAGAATGTCATCTTCCTAATAAGCATTCAGCATGTGTTCCTTCATTTGATTAGAAGCACATAGCATAACGAGGAAAATTGCATTGAAATTCATCATTTCTCTATTTGTGTATGATGCCTTGAGATGAAAATAATGTATGCCCTCTTCCCTTCACCAAAACAAAAAAGCAGATGTTGCCAACTACTTTTCGTGAAGACAGTGTCCCTTTAACAGGACGTAATTTTTAATGTACTGGTGATATATAATCAGCAAATTGCCAATTGAAAGGCTGCAAGGGGCAAATAGTTCAACATCTTCAGACTTGTATTGGACTGACTGCCTGTCATACACTCAGCAGATTTAATGGGTACAAAAATCAAACAGAGTGTAAAACAGATCAAGCCATTGCTTGTCTCATGCTCCTCTATAATTGGAAGTTCCACCTGAGGTCTTAAAGCTTTGTTGTCAAGCTTTCTTTCTGAAGTCCCAGTATATCATGGTATTATCAATGCAGGGTGTAGTGTAGGGATCAGTGGCACTGACATCATTTATGTCCACCTGGAACAAGAACTCAGCACCCTCTCTGCTGATGTGGCACCAAGTATGTGCCTAAAATGCATTGTTGTACTTGTTGCTCTGCTGCCCAGCCTCTGCGCTGCTTCACCAGTTCATTGCGCTGTCACTCCACTTCTCCTCTGGCCTGCTGCTCCATTGCCCTGTTTCTCTGCTGCTCCACTGGCTTTTGTCTCCATTGTGCCACTGCTCTACCACTTTGCTTACGCACTGGCTTGCTACACAGCTGCATTGCTGCCTGGTTGCTCCATTGCACCAATGTTCCTCCACTGCCCTACCTTCTAGTTCACTACTATACTACTCAGTTGGCTCATCGTCTGCTGCCCTGTTGCCCCATAGCTTGTTGTCCTGCTGTGTCTCTCTCTGCCCCACTGTCTGTCTGTCTGCTGATTGCTGTCTCACTGTCCTGTGGCCTGTTGTCTTGCTGTCTCACTGCTCTACATTCTCATTCTCTCAGTGCTCCAATGCCCCACTGGCTCACCATCCCATCCCATCCCGTCTTTTGACTCTCTGCTCTAATTGGCCATGTGAAACTTTGATTCTGAGCTAAGATATTAGGCTGGCACAATAAGATCACATAACATTTACAAGTGTGCATATCAGATAAACACTTGAAAAAGGTCACATTTTACTGTTTCTTTGAATTGCTCAATGGTAAGGATAGTCCTAGACTTTGCAGGAAGTTATCTGGAGCATCTCTGGCAGCGCTGCCATAGGCATTATGACCTGCCTGAGTGGTGAGTGTTCCCCTGTAGTAGTAGTGGCAGTAAACACAGCCTTATCAATGAGTACAACATAAGTATTTTTGAAGGAGCAGTAATTCCAGGTTACTGTGTTAACCTTCACTTTGTGTCTGGCAAACAATTAAGCTGAGTCCCTTCTAAATTTGGAAATGAACCAGTAAAAAGCTGAATTCTTTTGGGGCAGCTTCAATTTTAACAGAGTAGAATGACTATAAGCATAAGGTAATGAACTGTGTTAAAATTAATAATATCAGCTGCCTTAAAACTTTGATGCTTGGCTCTAGCTTTTTTTTTTGCTAAGAGCAACTTAAAAAAAGGCTCAGTTTTAAAAAGGACCAACATGACTACAACCTACCAAAGGTTTTCTTTGCAGAACTTTAGACAGTCCTGGTCCTGTTAAGATCAGCTTAATTTCTGCCACATATTTTCTAAATGAATTATTCTATCTCTCAAGTCCATTCTGATGAAGGGTCTAGGCCCGAAACGTCAGCCTTTCTGCTCCTATGATGCTGCTTGGCCTGCTGTGTTCATCCAGCCCTGTACCTTGTTGTCTCGGATTCTCCAGCATCTGCAGATCCTACTATCTCTTATCCATTTTGCTTTTGTGATTTTAGACTACCTCAGGTGATGATAATGGTTAAACATTGAATGCCCTTGCACTAGTTAAATTGGGACATTTAGCTGGTTTATAATCCAATGCTTCTATTAAGAGCAAGAAAATTTCTATCTTTATGTGTCTCCACGTACAAGATGCTGAGAATTTGATATTCGCTTTTATTGTGGAGCTCCACGATAATGAAGTATGGTTGACAATGTGCATACCTACTGTTGCTTCTTTGTACAATGTGAAATGAATGGGCTTACACTGGCATTTAATATCCTCTTTGATCAGAACCTGTTAGATTTCTTCTGTGAGTTGCTTGCATTTGCTCCAGAATCTTTATCAGTAGTATTTTTTTCACGTAGCATTGTAGGCTTTGATCTTAAACCTACCGTTGTGGGAGGGCATGCTAATTCCCAGAAAATACATGATGCAACCCCACCCCAGCGGCTGCACAGCTCTCACTATTTTTTTGTGGCTGCGAGGCACAAAGTGCACAAATTCCATTTTGGATATGCAGAGCACCTCATTAATGCAATTAAATCTGTCTCCTACCAATTGACTGGGAGCCCAACTTCGCTTTAACTGGTCACAAACCAGGTTTTCCAAAACTCAGCAGCAAAACTGAGATGATAGCTGCCCCTTCTAGAAGCTAAGTTTTTTTTTTCTTGCAATTCTTGTAGGCCCAGGAGGACCATGCGTGCTTCCTGGACGTCGTCATCAGCCATCACTCTGCTGATTGTGACCTCTCTATCTCTTTCCCCCTGCCGGGTTTAGCCAGCAGCCCCACACCGGAGACTGTCAACCAGCTGTTGGCTGGGAATTGAAATTGAGATATGCTGATGTGGCCTTGCCATTAAATTTTGCCTTTCCATGCTCCTGGATTGCTTTCACTCTCCTTCACTCTCTTCAATGTCTTCCTATAAATATTAGAGAAAGGTGCTAGATGCACTAATGACATAGAAGTACTTATAGAATTCCTGGCCTTTCAGTATAGTCTGTGCATCCTAAATTTCTCATTTGTTTCTCTTTTATGCAGTATTAAGGGAGATTACCTCCCTCCATCTTATTTCCACTTGGACAGCATTGACTTGCTGCTCATTACTATAGTCACATGATTAATCTACAGCACTTAATCTCAAAGAGGCCAATCATTCTCTAAAGAGCCAATCTTAGTCCTGAGTTTCAGCAACAGACAAATTTGAATTATGTTACTGCTGCAAAAACATAATCCAGTCCCCAAACTGATATTTGATCATTTTAGTGTCGTGTGAGACTTTATCATTCAGATTTCAGAGAGTGTAGTATGTAGATGGTCGCTCCCCTGACGGTGGATGCTGTGCTATTTCCTGCTTTGTTTAGCTTCTACTTTTCTCATTCTCCTCTTAATTTGTTTTATTTCTTGATTTTGTTTATGTTTCCGCCGCCATGATTCAGTTGGTCACACACGTGCCTCCGAATCACAGGATTCCAGGATTAATCTGACTCCAGAACTTGAGTTCAAAAACTAAGGTTGATCCTCCAGTGCAGTACTGAAACAGCAATGCACTGTTGAAGGTGCCACCTTTCAGATGATATCTTAAACCAAGGACCCATCTGTGTGCCTGGGTGGATGTAAAAGGTCATGTGGCACTATTTCAATGAAGAGCAGGGGAGTTATCCCCAGCATCCTGCCTAATATTTACCACTCAACAGTTTGGCTAATTATTATCACACTGCTACTTGTGGGAATTTACAGAGTACAAATTAGCTGCCTCATTTCCACATTGCAAAAGTGACTGCGTTTCAAAAATGTACTTGCTTCATAGGTTATAAGGTACTTTTGAGACATCTGGTTGACATGAAGTGCACTGTATAAATGCAAGTTTTTCTTTTTTCTTGTCTCTCTCGCTCCCACTGTCAGCTCCAAAAGCATCCATTTCATATCCGTGTTCTGAGGAACGGTCACTGGACTCAAAATGTTAACTCTGCTTTCTCTGCACAGCTGCTGCCAGATCTGTTGAGTTTTTCCAGTAATTTCTGTTTTCGTGTCCATTTCATAATTATATGGATTGAGATGTCCCCAAACAACTTGATTGAAACTGTTCTGCAAAATATGGTGATTATAGAGCACTTTCAGTGTTATTGAACTACATGGTGAGTATTGCCTCCATTTGTAGGAAATTGACTCTCAACTCATAGCACTGTTTGAACTGGTGTTAAAGCATATCAAGCCATGTGCAATGTTGACCCCAACTAGTGACAACTATACATGTGTATTGAACTAAAATTGTTCATGGCACGATTGATTATTTATCACTTAGATCTATTCGCAACCAGTTTTCCCTTTGTTCTGGGATTTCTTGTACAAACTGACACAAAAATTCATGTGTCATATGGGCAATTGCAATTAAGTAAGGTCCCAAAACTATAAAAATCTCAAACTTGACCCTAACCTGAATTTTATGTAAGCAGTTCTCGGTTTAATAGAATCAGGACAGAGTTGGCAATTTTAGTACGTGTTTTATGAGGCCAGTGCCTTAAATCTAACCTGCTTAGCAGGTTCAACCCGGGCCTGAGAAACCTGACAGAATACTTCTGTGGAGATATCTTCAGGAAGAAATGAGTGCCTTTATAGCAGTGCTTGTGGGCCAAGAGCAGCAGGACTGTTTTTGCTTATCCATGACCATTCTCCACTTTACCCTACCTTGAATCAAAACATTTTTATATTCAGGTGTCAGCCCCCTTACCCCAAGGAGCCAAATCTGTCAGTCAGGCATCTTCCAGATGTGCAACCTGCGATAAAAATGCTGTGTTGTTGATTAAAACATTCTTGTGTAATTGGGGAGGAATTGAGTTGGCAACGGAGTGCAAAATTCGAGCTTGGCCGTGCAGAAGTAAAGGATGGAAACATCTCTTTCATAGAATGAGCTGTAGAAATCTGGAACTCTCTCCCCATAAACTC